TTAGGAAAGGCCTTTGAGATAATTGTTGTATTAAGTTTATTATTTTTGTTAGCTTGGTTTGAGACGATTCCAGGTCTGACACTGGTCATTTAGGTCATTTGGGTCATTTCAGGTCATTTGCCAACACTTCTATCCAATCAAAAATAGAAGAACCTATAAAATAAGGAATAAATAGCATCTAATTGCTGTACAAAGCAATTGAATCTAAAAAAAAACTTATTTATTTTTTTCCGAAGTGGTCTAACTCGTCTTTAAAAAAAAAAGCCAAGTAAAAAGAGGAACTTTTAAAAAAATATCGCTGTGGCCTATAATTGCAGTCCAATTGAATTTTAATAAATTCATCATAAATAACGCTGTTCTCGAACTGAGTTCTCATTCTACAGCTTAATAAAATATAATAACTCAGCACCTTCCTTCAATTCGTAAAAAGAAATGTTGAATTCTAAAAGGAGCAAATAAATCAGAAATGTTCGGCTAAATTTCTTTTGAAAAAAGTTGAATTAGAAATCACCATTAAAATGTTATCTCTGTGGATCAAGTTTATCACTATAATCAAAATAGGAATCAAAAATATGATAAATAGAAATAAAACCAACCGATACCCATTACCAAACTAACAAATTTATTATATGAACATTTATTTGAAAGTAAAAATACTTTTTTGACCAAATAACGCTAAAGAAAAATTTACTTCCGATTTTATTAAATTGATCTTGTTTTTCGCCAATTTTTTCAAAAAAAAAATATTATTTTCAAATAAATCGCGTCATCGATCATCATTTTTCATTGAGTCCGGGTTGCAGAATGCAGGGAAAGTTTGACAATAAATAACATAAACGCTTATTTCAGGATAGATAAAAACCCGAACGAAAATGATGAGATTTAGAGATACTATATATATTCAAATGATCACGTGATCTAGAAATAATTATGACCAACGTTAGGAAAGACGATTTTGGTGTTGAAATTGCTTTATAAATGTGTAACGCGCCTAATATTAGAAAACCGTTGCCACATGGAATCACGTGTATTTATATATAAATTACTTTTATGGAATTATTTTCTTTATGTAGTTAGTTTATGGTATCATTTTTTGGTGTGGTATTATCAATAGAATGATAAAAATGAAAATGTAGTTAAATTAATCATGAATCGTTATCTAAAGGCCAGCGTGTAATATCATTCAAAATATTTGTGTTTCCACTTAGCATTAATCTTCTTGCTTCACCAATTTTTCTTGAAAATTTCGATGATATATAGCCACAACCTTCAGGACCAGAAATAAAATAACTCGAATTCGTCAAGACTAATTTATCAAATATTCCTTGTAATCCAGAACC